AGAGACAGAGACATGTTTAAAGAAATTAAAACATTAAAATACGAATTCAGGCCTTCCTAATAAGTGATAAAAACGGTAACACAATAACGGAAACCAAAAACATATTAGAACGATGGAAAGAATACTGCAGAGAAATGTATGAGGATGTGACAAGTAATTCAAAAACGACTTGTGAAAGCTATGAAAAAAGAATCAGAGCCTTTACTGGATAAGGTACGATCAGCAATACACAGCCTAAAGAAAGGAAAGTCACCAGGTTGCGATGAAATACCAGCAGAAATAATTCAAACAGGAGGAAAGGCCAGCGTCCGAATCTACCATGCACTGTGCTCGAAGATCTGGAACAGCGGCAATTGGCCTAAAGCGTGGAAAAGAAAAGTCTATATCCCTCTGCCAACGAAAGGAAACCCAAAACTATGCTCCAACTACCGTACCATCGCATTAATAAGTCATGCTAGCAAAATCTTCTTACGAATTATGGTGAAAAGGATTGAAAGGAAATTACAATATGCGCTAGATGAAGCACAGGCAGGTTTCAGACAGGGTAGAGGAACTAGGGATCACATCTTTAATCTGAGAATAAATTTTGAAAAATGCAGAGAATACAACATAGATCTTCATGCTTGTTTCATTGATTATAGCAAGGCATTTGATTGTGTCCAACACCACAAACTGGACTATTATGAAAAGTACGGGGTTTCCAGCGCATTTAGTGCATTTAATTGAAAATCTTTATCAAGAACAACAAGCAGCCATAAGAGCAGCTGGTGAAACATCTGATTGGTTCGAGGTGCAAAAGGGGGTGATGCAGAGGTGCATTGTCTCACCATACCTATTCAATATATACGCAGAAAATATAATGAGAAATGTCAAAAAAGACCAGACTTGTGACAGTTATGATCCGCTCAGAATTGGTGGCAACCCTATTCCGGAACTCCGCTACGCAGATGACACAGTCCTCCTTTCGGACAGCGTAAAGGGAATAGAAAATTTAATATTGTCTGTCCAAAATCACAGTGAAGATCAAAATCTGTTCTTGAATTTAAAGAAAAGGAAAATAATGTCTACAGATAAAATTGGCTGTCACCCAAAAATAACAATAAATGATGAAGAAACTAAAAATGTCACAAACTTTGAATATCTAGGCCCTATAATAAACAACAGTGGAGACTGTTCGACAGAAATTAAAAGGAGGATGGCCATAGCAATCCAAAGATTGAACAGCCTTAAAAGTCTATGGTTAAGCACCAGCAAGGAGATCAAAATTAGAATTTTGAGAGCATGCATCTTCCCTGTGGCTACATATGGATATGAGTCGTGGACTATCTCTCAGTCCTTGAGAAAGAGAATAGGGGCTTTTGAGCTTAAATGTTATAGAAAGATTCTCAGAATATCTTGGACAAAGAAGATGAGAAATATTGACATCTTAAAAGACCTGAACATCAAGAAAGATTGGCTAATAAACAGCATCCTTTCTCGAAAGCTGAAATATTTTGGTCATATCAAGCGCCCCGACGGATTGGAAAAAATTATAGCAGAAGGCATGGTACCAGGAAGGAGGGTCAGGGGCCGATCGACACGAAGATGGGCACAGGATATAAGTGACGCCTTGAGTGTGAAAGTTCATGAGGCGGGAGAACTGGCGAAAGACCGAGTTTCTTTCAGGCAGACTGTGATGAGAGCGACGTTCTGCAAAGGACCTGCTACATGATGATGATGAGTGATGATTAATGGCCTTGTATTTTTTTTTCGAAAGCATTTTTTTCCTGTGTCTTTAGTGGTTTTTCTAACTTTCCCTAACATAGACCTATGATGAACGTGAAATAACCTTAAAACTGAAAATACGTAACTCCGTTTTAAAACAATATAATTAGGAACACTAAGTGTGTATGTGTGTGTGTATATATGTATATATGTGTGTGTGTGTGTGTGTGTGTGTGTGTGTTTGTAAAACAGAAGGACAAAATTGTTGGGGGGGGGGCAGGGGGTTCCGAGTGTGTTTGTGAGTAGAGTAACGGAGAGAGAGAGAAAGAGAAAGCGAGAGAGAGAGAGCTGTAGGATTCTCTTTCCAAAAACGGGTGTGCAGAGACGTTATGGTGTAGTGGCTAGACGCTTCCTGTGGATCGGAAGGTTGTTGGATCGGGTCCTGACGGAGCCAGCTTTTTTTTTCAGAAGTAACGTTGTCTTCCAGGACCACCCACGCTTGAGTGGCTACCAGGTATAGTCTTGGGAAGTAAAGGCGGTCGGTTGACCACATTACCCATCAAGTGCCGACTGGTCTATTAAAAAAAAAATTAGGTCTAGCCCTATATGGCAACTGGTACTTTGCATTACTTTACTTTTTCAATGGGTATGCGTTTGGCAGCTGTGGAAGTAGACTATGCCATTGATACTGTCATTACTGTTTTCCTCGTACATCAGCTATGTACTTCTTGTCTGGACGATTTATATATTTATTACGGACGTAATTCCACTCTGTGCCTTTTAATGATTAGTTTTAAACTGTTCTTACCCTAATTCTGTCTGTTCCCAAATATTATTTTCAACTTTTCGAATTCTGATAAATGTAATTTTACACTAACTTGCTTTAGACATTGAGTTAAGTGCACTTAATTTTCTCTGTGTTCATTTCTATACATGGAACAATGGTAGTGATTGACGTAGCCGCTACGGGAGACCCAGTTACGCCATTTTGGAGCTTCGCATCTACACCCGTCAGAAACTGGAGCCTTCGTGGACAGAAAAAAATATTAGTAATACTGGACCCTACCAGTTCAGTGTTACACTCCCCACCCCCCCCCCTCCCTTTTTCGTTGTTGTTGTTTTTGTTGTTATTATCGATCCAGTGGCACGTTTGCTTTCACCCTCTGAACGTGGTGTGCTTGCTGAACCCTCTGTTCGCACCTACGTGCAACATTCTCTACAGCCCATAATAATCTAGTTTCTTTTCTGACTTCGTAATTGTTCCCAAAGTGCTCTGAAAACAGTCTACCTTGTCATGTATCAGTTCACCACCAAGTGGTGCAGATAAAGCCAACCTGTCTGCATGTTCATTCCCCACCGCACCGACATTGCCTGGAGAAAAGATCCAAAGTACGCTCACTACCTGTGACCTTGCAAATGAAGCTTATCCTCTGCTATAAGCAATCCTGTCTTCATCTTTTTCAGCATACTTCCAGATTCTGTTACAATTACGACATGTCTATATATCTTGTTCTCTAGGCACCGACAAGTTGCAGTGACCGCCTTCATCTCCATTCACATGCTAGATGTTGTGGTATCATATGCCAGGTTGTCCGGCACTAAAGATTGTCCATTGGCTTTCGCTACTTCTCTTCCCTCTCAATACAGAACCATCTAAATAGATAGGGTGGGGGAGGAGCGCTCTTCTAATAGAAGAATGATGACGCAATGCGAAGAAAGCCAAGGAAGACCGAATCGTCGAGTAAGGGAGTTAGAAAGGGAAGTTAAAAAGATGGGAGGGAGGAGGGTGTGGGATGGGCTGCCTGCGATATCCAGGGCATGACGACTTGGATAGTCGTTGGTTGACGGCTTTTGCTCTATTGGAGGAGGAGGATGAGGAGGAGGAGGAGGAAGAGAAGGAGGAGGAGAAGGAGCAGTAGAAGAAGAAAAAAAAAAAAGAAAAAGAAGAAGAAAGAAGAAGATCTAGGATTTAAATTTTTGAAATGACTGAGGATGAGACATTTTGTGTTGCATGAGGTCAAACGTCCATGTGTCAGCTTAGTGAGAAAACACTCTTATCTTCCATGTTACCAGTTTTTATACTTATGAGTCACTGATTCATTATTGAAACGTACGAACTACCAAGGCCGGGGGGGGGGGGGGGGGGAGGTTAATAAATGAAGGTAACCGATGAAACATTTAAGTTTGGGACCGAATAAGTTAAAATAGCTATTGTCAACGATATAAAGAGTTGAGTCATTACTTTTATAGTTCAAGGGACGTAATCAGTAATATTAGGCTGTTGTTTGTTTTAGTATCCATAAGCCATGAGTGTCGGCTCTGTGGCTAAGTCGATGCGAACGCTTCGCTTCGTAATGCCGGGATGCCGGGATCGATCCCAGATGCGGGCAATGCGCCTTGCGTTGGTTTCGACAGTGGTATCAAGAAAGCCGACCGTCCAGAAGCAATGGCAAACTACTGGACGTAAATTTGCCTAGAGAAACCACACAACAGCCAGGGGCTGTTAGGGTTGGTTCTGCAACGTCCTGTAAAGGATATGCAACAACCTTTTAGAACCCATGAGTTGTTAACCCTTAGGCTCGGTATTATGGATATCGCAACCTTTCGGCCTTGATTCCATTGTAAATACCGTAAATCTGGGTTAAATGTGGCTTTTCTGCCTACCCCCGGGAGTGAACCCGGACCACAAGGAGTTCGTCACCCACTCACCGCGCAATCCGGTTTAGCCAACTACGCTAGAGAGACGGGCATATTAGGCGGTTCGGATACACTGTTATTCCTGTAAATCGTTTCCTTTATCGATATCCTTTTCCATTTCTCTCCGAGTCCGACTCGTAATCCAACGTACCGCGATCGAAACCCACTGCTGGCTGCGTGGATTTTTATCATGGTATTGGCGTCGCAGGTCGACCCAGCCGTAAATGGGTACCAGGATGGCTGTCTTGGGGAAGCAAAGACGGCCGGAGTAATGCTGACCACATTACCCATCCAGTGCCGATTGGTCTGTAAAATATGGGACGCTCTTTCCAAATACCCGATGCGCCTATGCTGTGAAAAGGGATCTTTACTTCACTTACTTTACTTTCCATTTCTATTTGGTCTTTACGTCACTGCTTGCTGTGGTAAATGACTGTTGGCAGCTGAAACGTTGAAATGCTAAACACGCAATTTATCCTTTTCTAACTATAATAAAATTAACAATAAACCAGACAAGCTTCGCGGGTATAGTGCATTTGCATCTGAAATTACGTCGTCGTGTTATGTCACACAATTATGTTGTGTGAGATGCTGTTATATTAATTTGAACGTCGATGATCGTCCCTGCGTCCACTGACTAGATTTACTTTTATGTATCTCCTGAGGACAGATAAAAATTTGAAATAAACATGGTGAATGTTGAACGCATTAATCGTGTCATACAAGGTTCGATAATTAAGTAATGAGACTGATTTTATTATGACCAAGACAAAAGTGCCATATATAAAGCAAAGTATGGAATCTAAAGAGACAACATTCATCTATGATCTAGACAACTTTTCATCACCGCTCGATAAGCAGGCAACAAACCAGCCGCCATTTTGTTGACCTAGTCAGAGATGCACTGTTACGTAATCAGCATGGAGCAAAAAGCTAATATTACATTCTTTTTAAAACCCACCAAAAGTGCCATTGAAACAGTTCAATTATCCAACAAGTTTATGGGGATAATTGATGTTCCCGTGCACAAATTGTCAGGTAGTATTCACCATTCAAAAGTGGTGTAGAAATGACTAATAATTAGGGCTGTACCGAATATTCGCCTCGTATTCGCTTTGGGGCCGAATAGTGGACCTATTGACTATTCGGTATTTTCGGCCGAATAGTTGCGGTCAGGCCGAATACGAACAGTAGTTACCTTACACCTGCTTCTGCATACACGGCCTTAATACTGACAACATGGAAGGATTGGTTTTGTTGAAAGCTAATGCAGCTTTCCTGCATTGACTAAGCTGTCAGTGACAATTTCCAAGTTTAGTTACTTGTTATAATACTTAGAATTCTTCCATTCCTAGTAATTAGTTACCACAGACTGACTGAAGGATGCACAACATAAAATGTTTTTAAATGTTTACTATTCTGTACGAATACTAACTAGACATGGAAAGAATATAAACTACGGCCACATCCAAGTCGATAATATGAAAATCAAAAGAACGGAAACATATAAGTACTTGGGTGCAAACTTCAACTGCTCCAGCATGCTGAGAAAAGAAACACAATCTAGAATACAATCTAGAAAAAAAAGTATACTATGCCCTTCAGCATCTGCTAAAGTCAAAGTGCTGTCTCGCAACACCAAAATCAAAACGTTGATGTCTAGTCAGATCTGCAAACAACTGGTGTCACAAATTGTAAAGAGAAGGCCAGCCGGAGAGATGAATGGAGACGAGTGATATCTGCAGCAGTAAACCTCAAGGGCTCAGAATGCTAAAGAAGAAGATAACTATTCTGTGCTACTTTATGTGAAGTAAAAGTTCAGCGTACATTTAACATTATGAATGTGTGTGTGTGTGTGAGTGTGTGAGTGTGTGTGTGTGTGTGTGTGTGTTTTATAGATATATTTTATTCACTATACACTATTTGTATTCGTATTCGGTCGAATAGTTGGTCCCACTATTCGTATTCGGCCGGATAGGAAAAATCACTATTCGGTACAGCCCTACTACTAATGCACCCATAACTATAGGCCGAATTTCTGCTCGTAATGATGAACTTATTGCAAAAGTCAGAGAACGGATACAAAAAGATTATTGTTTTACTGTTTAGATGATGGCAGATGAATCTGGTGTTAATAGAGTGACCATTCGTAAAAATTTTAGTGCAAGATTTTAGCAAGAAAAAAAGTATCTTGCCGGTTTGTGCGACATTCGTTGTTTGATGACCAAAAACATTAGCGGTCAGAGTACCTAAGACACATCATCAAAACAAGAAATTTTGGCCCCAAAACAAGTGTTTGTGTTATCAGCCTTCCACCCTTTTTCCCAGTTTTGTCTCCCTGTGATTATTTTCTATTCCAAAAATTAAAGTTTCTATTGAAAGGACGCTTTATTAACGATTTTGATGACACCCAAAGGGCAGTAACATCGACTTTAAGGGTCATAACAACAGAAGAACCACAGAGGTCGTTCTAGTGTTTGTTAGATCGTGCCACTTGATGTATTAATGCACAAGGGGCTTATTTTGAATAAAATACAGGTTATATCTTCAACTGTTGATTATTGTAATTTTTATGAATTAGTCTCATTACTTAATTGTCGGAACTTGTAAAGTCTACAGTCAAACTTTCGAGACAAACTTTCAGGATTTTTATTTTTGCTATACCTGCTGCTAGTCGTCCACATGTAGGATAATCCAGTTTCGTCCTTTTCAGGACGAAATTTTTTGTCATTTGAAGCCCTACTCTGGCTTTTGCCAGGGGCCGCAATATAGGCAGGCCATAAATATGGCCAAATGTCTGAACGCGGTTTCTGGGACCTCTCCACGGCGATCCTCATCCGCATGGTGGCACTTTGTGTCATCGGGTGTTTATCGCTTGTGTGATGTCCTGGTGGGGTAGAAATTCATTCATTCATTCACATGTAGGATGTGACTTTCGTGGTCATTTGAATCCTCGCCATGCTTTTGCCGGGTGCCCTGAATATTAGTCAATTTGCTGTACAATACACGGTTAGTTGCGTATCCTTTACAGGACGTTGTAGAACAAACCCCAGCAGCCCCTGGCTGTTGTGTCCTTTTTCTAGGCAAATTTACGTCCAGTAGTTTGCAATTTCCGGACGGTCGGCTTTCGTGATACCACTGTCGAAACCAACGCACGGCGCATGGCCCGCAGCTGGGATGGAACACGGCATTACGAAGCGTTCACATCGACTTAGCAACAGAGCCAACCGCCCTGAATTTAGCCTGGGCATAAATATGTCCTAGCCCCAGATTTGTCCTAACGGCAGAAAGGGGTTTCTGGGACCTTTCCACGAGTGATCCTCATCCGCATGGTGGCACTTTGTGTCACAGGGTGTTTATCGCTTGTGTGATATCTTGGTGGGGTACAGATACCTGCCTACAATTCTGGATTTCTGTGTGGACACATAATACTCAACCCTGTCCCCATGTGGGGCGAATTTTTTTTTTAACCCCCACTCTGATTGTTGACGGGAACACTTATATAATCCAACCTATTGGTCGAACGGGGTTTCTAGAACCTCTCCACTGGTGATCCTCCTCCGAATAGTGGCACTTTGTGTCACCGGTTGTTTATCTCTCGTGTGATGTCTTGGTGGGGTTAAACATCAATCAATTAATTTGGACATAATATATTTAACTGGTTAATGTGGGATGCCATTTTTCGTTATTTTATTGTCCCACACTGGCTGTGGTCGGGGGCCCTAATGTGACCTAAGGGTTCAACGGGATTCTAGGACTTGTGCCCGGGGGATCATCATCCGAATGGTTGGCCCCTTGTGTCACCGGGTGTTGCTCGCTCGTTGTACGGTCCTAATGGCGTTGAACAACATACACACGTGTGGACACATTGTTGACTGCGTTTCCCATTAGGATGCCAGTAAACTACTTTGTAGTCGGTCGGGACAGTGTTTGGGTCTGTCTCCCTCAATCGCATCAACACTACAAGAGTCCTTTTCAGGATTGCTTGGTGGCGAGCCATGTTAAGCCATTATGTATGGTGAACATAACCTAGTCACTATGATAACATAAAGCTTCCTCCTCGGCGATGCTGGTTAAACATGACTTGCCGCGCCCCAAGTTGTGTAGACTTCACGTTACTTTGTAATCCTCATGTACACAAATTAAAATAAAATTATGACATCCCCCCCCCCCCCCCCCACAAACCAAAAAAAAACAAATGGAGATCATAAAAAATACGGTTCAATGGGGTACCTGGAATTTTTACCTAGGGAATTGTCATTCGAATAGTGACCCCTTTGCGTCAGCGAGAGTTAATCGCTCAGTGTGCGGTCCTAGTATTGTTTAACTTCCCTTACTTCTCCTCGGAACAGCGAACGTGATATACAAGGTTGTAAAATACTTAGGTTTTGATCGTTTTCGAACTCTTTGATTCATTCCCTTCAAAGATTGACGTAAAACAGGACCTTTCAAGAAAACTAAAATGCTTTTTCTGCTTAACCTCTCATCAACTCCTTCTTTTCTCAACAAAGCCGTCTTAGTTTCGCACTTGTCTTTGTCCAACAACCAGGTTTCTAGCCGGTTTTACGTGGACCACTAGGCAGGTTCGCGAGGTCACTATTTTAGTTGAGGCCAACTTTTACTTGGCGTGCATTTCTTTCATCTCCTTGGTAACTGAAGTGACCGTTTTCTTAGCGGGCCAGTGAGCTGCATCTGAAAGTAAAGATCCTTTTTCACGCATTAGGCGCATCGGTAATATGGGGAGAGCATCCCATATTTTTACAGATCAATCGGCACTAGGTGGGGAATGTGGTCAGCATTCCGCCAGCCGTCTTTACTTCCCCAGGACAGCCATCCTGGTACCCACTTTAGGCTGGGTCGACCTGCGTCTGGGTTAATCTATATAACACGGTAATACGACACCCCTTTGTTTGAACATATTCTTTGTTGTTATACGGCCTGTCCTTGAAGTTAACAGTTAAAGTCGAGAGGTTAGACTTCACTGCACCGAGTTTTATGCTATATGGCTGGGACTCTCTCTTCAGAACGGCTAACCGCCTGCTGAGAGCGTCGCACAAAGCACAAACTATGTAGCTCTGACGACGATTGCCAGGGATTTCCGTAAAAATTGCATTCGTGAACTAAACGGTGCAGCCGTGAAACGAACCCACGATATTCAGAGCGCGAGGCAAACGGTTTGACCACTTTGCCACGGAGATCCACGTCTTTTCCCTGAGATTCTTTACAGAGATGCCTTGTCTCAGTTGTGAATACTATCTTCCGCTTTTGTCATCCTGACATGGAATATGTGTTGTACCTTATAGATAAATGCACATAACACTCTACATTTACACACGAAAAGCTCTGTAAATAACACAATCAAAAACAGTTGACACACGGCAACATCATATTCATTATATACATTCTAACACAATAACATTTTTTTGTACCCCTTCCCCAAATACCAGTGTTAAACATGGCCAGTCACGTGCAAGAAAGACACAAATAGTTAACCATGGGAATGAGATGTCTCTAATGGCTACGTCATTGGTCGCTAGAGATCAAATCAGGCCGATCATACGGGGGAAAAATCACCATTGAGAAAATACTAATGCACCCATACAGACAGCAAACAAACTTTTTTTTTTTTTCCACCCATGAAACAGAATACCTTGACTGTATTATAACACAAGGCATATACTACAGAGGAGAGAGACGTAGAAGCCAAGGCAGGCCAAGAACAATGTGGACAGTAACATCAGTAATCTCTGCAACAATATCAAGCGTCTACGGTCTGGGCATCCAAAAAAAAACAAGAACAATGAGTCTCAAATGACCCCAAAAGCGAACAAGAAAAAGTGAAAAAGAAAAAGAAGCAGACAGAGGAGGAGGAGGAGGATGATCATAGGGAAGACAAAAGTGATATTACTGCCAATAAATTAGAAGCTACAAGTAAGCATATGCTTAGAGAGTCACAAATTGAGGATGCATGGCGGACATTTTGATTAGCCTTAGAGAGCTGAGCACCCCCCCCCCCCCCCCCCCCCCCCCCCCCCCCCCCCCCCCCCCCCCCCCCCCCCCCCCCCCCCCCCCCCCCCCCCCCCCCCCCCCCCCTTTTCAGCTGAAGTAAAGTTTTAAAAAAAAATATGAACAACAATGCAACAACGCAGGCTGGATTCCTGAACTCTATTGAGTATAAAAGCATGTGGGTTACATACAATAAGTTTTGGAGATCTGACCAAAGACTTTGTAACTTTAAAATAAAGATAGGGAAAAAACTTTTCAAAAATAAGGTAGACGTATACTATTTTTCCCCCATCTTACTTTAAGTTTTGTTTAATTTCGATAATAACATTTTACTCTGTGGTTTAATATTGCTCATATTTTGAATTACAAATATGTGGAAGCAGTGCCCTCTTAACACATGGGCCCACTGGGGATTTGCCAGGAAGCCCCATAGTAATATGCGTATTGTAGGCATGTGGCAAACCCATCACTTATGCACTGAATCGTTCGATCTGAAGTGAGGATGTCCTGTCGACTAGCTAACCTAGTCCGATTATATGCTGAAGGAAAACTAGTGGATGCAGCAAGCGATTTACCCCTTCCTTGACTGACTGACTGACTTTCTACCCCACTAGGACATCACACAAGCGATAAACACCCGATGACACAATGTGCCACCATGGTGGATGAGGATCGCCGTGGAGCGGTCCCAGAAACCGCGTTAAGACAATTGGCCATATTTAAGGCCTGCCTATATTGCAGCCCCTGGCAAAAGCCAGGGTGGGGCTTCAAAAAACAAAACAAAAATATCCTAAAAAGGACGAAAAAACTACCCCTTCCCTACAAACATATAAGACTACTTGCAGGCAGTGTTACCTGATGTTTAGCGTCAGAATCGCCACATACATCACGTGAAACGCAGCAATAAATATAAATCCTCTATTGACCGCGTCTATGCTGGCTGCAGAGCAGAAAAGAGAAGAAGTATAGACGATGTTCACTGTTATCTTATATTAATAAAAAATGTTAATTTTCAGGTGTCGTTTTTCCTAAACTCGGAAAATAATGAGCCGATTGCTTTCAAATTTTCACACAACTTTGCCTCTGACCCAAAGCGTTATTTTTTGTTATAAAATCACACAAACCAGGATCGACGTAGATCCAGCAACGGTCAAATCAATATTTGTTTCGTTGCCCGCCCGGATTTGTTTTCAATAGATTGGCCATCTTGACTGTGTAACACCGAACTTCACATAATTATTATATACTTTCATTTCTAAAAAATACTTGAGTATTCAGTAGCGTAGTTAGTTGTAAGCATTTAGATTTTTACTCGTGTGATAGGGGTTCGATTCCCCGCTGGGTGATATATTTTATTTTGGGCCCCTAATTGGGTGGGTGGCTGCCACGTTTTGTTGTGGTTTATAGCAAGGCTGCAATATCTACGCTTTTTTTCCGTTCGAATTTGGAGTTTACAGCTAGCCTGCGATAGCGGCGAGGTGATGCTCACTGTTCATGTCACGGGTAATATTCGTCCGCCCTTACGCCCAAAGACATCCGATTTCAGTACAGTCCAAATTAGCCTCTCCCGATACTTCACTCGATCAAAAACTATTCGTTGATGACAAAAAATGTTAACTAAGACGGCTTACGGTCCAGTTTGGTTTGGGTCGATACGGATGCCAAGGTTAGTTAAACATCGTCCTTTCGGAGAGGTAGATATGACGAGTGCGGGCGGGTTTTTATTTCCGCTGTTTGTGAGTATAGTGTACTTTTTTTTTTAATCACGGAATATAACTGTGGGTTCCACCACTGGCTAGGTGATGGAGTTTTAAGTCGGGGACACACTTAAACTAAACAGTCCGTGGCGACAGCATGCGGCGCCAACTCCTCTGGCTACAACGACCTGTACAGACAGTAGTGACCGTTTTGTGTTGTTGTTGTTGTGGCGGTGGTGGTGGTAGTGGTAGCAGTAGTACTGGTACTCGATGGGTGATGTGGTAGCTGTTACACTGACCACATTTCTCAGTACAGATAAATGCTACCCATTTTTGTCTGGGTGGACACGGATGCCAAGCTCAGTTTAACAACAATATTTCGTCAGGCACTGACTTTCCCATACTTCGTAGAGGGTGATTTTATTGTCACAGAGGGAAAGGGGGGGGGGGGGGGGGGGGGTTTTTTTGGGGGGGTTGATGCCAGACACTGTTAACTGAGAGAGCTCAAAAAAATTATTTTAACGTTTTCATTTCCTAACTATTTCTATTTTAACAATGTCGCCGAATAATAATGTTTCAATCATTCGGAGAGGGAGATACAATTGGGCAGATGCTCGTGTCCTTGGTAGCGTAGTTGTAAATTTTGCGTGTTACGCGGGTGACTGGCGATCAATGCCCCGCTGGGTGATAAATTAATTTTTTTGGCTCCTAACTAAGCGGCTGGCACGTTGTGTTGTGGTTTACAGCTAGGCTGCGATATCTACGTCTTTTTCCCGCTCGGTTTGGGGGTTTACAGCTAGCCTGTGATAGCGACGACGGGATATTGGTCATGTCACGGGTAATCTTGGTTCGCCCTTGATAGGGCGGTTGGCACGTTATGTTGTGGTTTACAGCTAGGCTGCGATATCAGACCCAAACTCTTCAGTTTTAGGTAGTATAGTTGTACGTATTCCGCCATTCACGTGGTTGACCGGTGTTCGATTACCCACTGGGTGCTAATTTTTTTCCCTCAGAAGGGCTGTTGACATCTTGTGTTGTGGTTTCCAGCTAGGCTGCGATATCTGCACCTTTGGCCCAAAGACAGTAGATTTCAGTAAATCCCGTTTATCCTAACCGCGACGCTTCACTCGATCATAAACTATTCGTTGATGACAGAAGCTGTTATCTAAGACTGACCAGTTTACTTTGGGTGGACACGGATGCCAAGGTCCTTTAACATTCGTCCCTTCGAAGATGGGAGATGACGGGTGGGTTTTTTTATTTCCGCTATTTGTGAGTATAGAACGGACTATTACTATGGCTTCCATCACTGGTTATGAGATGGAGTGTTTTTTTTTTTTTTTTTTTTTCGGGAGCTTAATTACACTAAACAGTCCGCGGCGACAACATGCAGCGCTAACTCCTCTGGCTACACCGACCTGCACAGACAGTAGTGACTGTTTTTTGTTTTTGTTCTGAAGGTGGTGGTGGTAGTGGTAGCAGTAGTACTGGTACTGGATGGGTAATGTGGTAGCTGTTACACTGGCCACATTTACTTCTCATTACATATTATTGCTATCCATCTGTCTCTGGGTGGGCACGGATGCAAAGCTCAAATTAATTACAATATTTCGTCAGATGATGACTTTTCCATCCTTCGGCGAGGACGATATGATTAGTCAATGGAAAAAAAAGGTGGAAAGGGGGGGGGGGGGGGGGTGTGATGGCAGACACTGTTAGCTGAGAGAGCCTAAAATATTATTTTAAAGTTACCATTACTTAACTATTTCTATTTTAATAATTTCGTCAAGTGATGATTTTTTATTCCTTCGGAGAGGGCAATTTTATTGGGGGGGGGGGGGGGGGGGGTATGCCAGACACTGTTAGCTGAGAGAGCTTAAAACATTTTTTTTCAAGTTCTCATTTCTGATAGCTACTTTCTTTCTTTTCCATTTCACCTTTCGGGCCACAGCAACGAGTGGCAGGGCACGGCTAGTACATAATAAAATGAGTTGTAAGAAAAGTTTCAGCGAAGAGCGCATTCCGCATCATTCTCCACATGGTGCCAGATTATTAAGGATATAAGCTTTGTTATGGGATAAGGTGTTGGAGTGTAAGGGTGAATTAAAGAAACAGAAAAAGAAGAATTTACCAAAATGGCTTGAAACCGCTATTAAGTGCTGCAGTAGTAACTTTAATTGATGTAAAACAGAATGTTACACACGTTCGAGACACGCACATTACACCACTTCTCATTTATGGATACCTACTTCTCGATGCCCAATCATAGCAGCCCCTTATGGAGTCTCCTTTCAAGTACTTGAGTTTCTTTTGCATAGAAGGACAAGGACGACAACTCGTCATACCTCTCATGCTGGCGTAATTGCTTTGGTTACATGCGAGACAAATGCCCCGTGTTCGGTCTAAGTAGAACCCTCTCATACACGTTTCTGTGGATTGTTCATTTCAAGCTAATTAACTGAAAACATCGACCCACTGTGACACAGTAGCTAGACTTCTGCATGCCGGCCATAAGTTTTTGGGTACGAATATACAGCTTTCATTATATAAGAAACTCAAGGAATTTTTGGTTATCAAATGCTAATCGGTGAATGCAAAATGACTACCATCATATACCCTAACCGTCTTCGGCGTGGACAGGGTCCATCATATTTTACTGCTTGATACATCCCGATATCTCTTTCTTCCATTAAAAAATTGTAGTTGGACTTCAGGGTGTATGTGGCTGCTAAAAGTAGTAGAGTAGCTCTTTTAAGTAAGTTTTTGTATCAACGTTTTTTCTCTACGCTATAGTGCGCCTAGGTGGATCGATATTTGTTAGTTTTTTTTAGGGCTGTGTGGCTTAGCAGCAGCCGCCTTATTTTATTCTTATTTTTCGACGACGCGGCTGCTGACATCATTGAAGCAACGTAGTAGTCTGATTTGAGTGACAGCATGCGTCCATCAGTATGACCGTCTGTCCATCTTTCCATTTACTAGCAGTGTCGAATACTCTTTGTCAATGTCGTCCACTACTCGGGTTACTTGAGAAACTCAAACAGATACAGCCGTCATAAATTTGACAAGTCTGATAGACTTGGCAACTTCATTTTTTTTTTAAAACAAAACGTGCTGTGTACTTTTGAAATCGTTCGCAAAACGTGGGTCTTTTTCGTCACTGTGTAAGTTGTGCACTGCTTTATGGCAAAGCTTTGAGTACCAGAATCGACTATTTAAACTTACCTTGTTTACACCCCCCCCCCCCCCCCCCCCAAGTTTTTATTGCCAAAGTCGTCCACTACTAAGGTTAGCAACCGTAAGTTACGCATTTAGTGATGTTTCTTGGTAAGACATTAACAGTCCTTGGTGGACAGTGTTTGATATTTTGTTCCTGTGGGACATCTTCAATCGTTCAAGATACGACTCAAGTCGGTCACTGAAGTTCTCTGGTATGTCATCCACTATCCCTGTGACACCTTAAGTATTATCTGTCCTTGGTGGCCATAGCTTGATGCTTGCTCCTTGGTGACACCCAAACAAAAAACTTAAAGTACCTTGCAAGTCTTTCACGGATCTTATGTCGACCAGCTACTATCCTTGGGCGACCTTAAGTCACGTGATGTCTTTCTCCGGGAGACGCACCTCAAGTCACTCAACATGCAACACAAGTAAGTTCCTTGGTCAGACGAGCACTATCCTTGGGACACCTAGAGTCTTTCCTTTGGGACATTATTAAGTCATTCGATGTCTTTTCCGCTGGGGGAAAATATACAACAAAAATCTGTAACTCGTCTTGACAAGTCATCTACGGAAGTTCCATGGTAAATCGTGTACTCTCCCTGGAACAGAACACATCAAGTTACTCGATATCTTTCTCCTCTGAAATACCTTAAATTGCTCAGGGTATTGTTCCAGTTTTTCATTAAGTCGTTTCTCTGGTACAAGTCTAAGCACTTGTCACCAGGTGGGACATCTTAACTTACCTTAACTTACCTAATGTCGTTCTCACTGGTGCACACTTCAAGTCAATCAGTATACAACAAAAGTCAGTCACTGAAGTGCCCTGGTAAGACACCGCAACTCACTTCATGTATTTCTCCTTTTAAGACACCTAAAGTAACTTAAACTGTTAACTTCTTCAAATCATGACAACTACACGGGTCAAATTTTCAGCTGCCATTACAGATGCAAAGTTAAATTTAACCGACACTCTGACGACCACGTCTATGTGCATTTCGTTTATTTATTGCAATAATCAGTTTAAAAAAAAAAAACTTCAGTTGGATCTGTATCCTTTGAAAAATGATTATTTTTTTTTTTTTTTAACATGCTTCACATAATTTTTTTTTTAATTACATTTGCTGTTATCTCCCTTAAATACTAGACTGCAAAAAAAAAAAAAAGGGCGTTAGAGGAGGTGGTTGCTTTATCGGTCAGAACTTGAACTGTAACCCCGCATTACGGCCTGAGTCACTGAGCTAAGCTGGTGGTAGTGCTAACAATGGAGCAGGTTTAGGAGGCTCCTACCACGACGCCTCAGATCATGACGCTGGAGCCAGCTCGCAGACCCTATTCAGAAAATTATGACAAGAGACAAACTGAGAATCACCAAAGATCCCCTGAAATGGGACGCTGATGGGTTGAGAAAACGTGGGCTTCCAAGAGAAATATAAAGATGGAAGGCGCATGTTGTGGTCACATCTCTGTGGAGTTCCTATCGTCTATGCGGCAGTGGTCGTGACTAAGTTGAGGTAGAGGACGGGAGAATAAACTTTCTTTCATTATTCAGGGCGAAGCTAGTTAGTAGCATCATACTTTTATTTTGTCACTGTTATATAGTACTATTAAATAACATATATACTTCATATTCCCTTCAAAGAAGACACCCAATACACCTCGCCCTAAAGCTTTCTTTATTTCCACTATACAATCCCTAAAACAACAGGATCCCCTTCCCTATCTCCTGCTACATTGGCCCATAAAACCCTCACGGCCCCTGCGCCACCTGACCCACCACTCACGGACACTTCCACCAAGTTGGACCACGCCCCTTCAACAACCGTCAAGTCGAAAATCGTATGGTTTTTGTTTTATTTTAATAATATAGAGGGTGGCTACTGTGCAACCACATTAGCATTTAAAAAAAAAAGAACGAATATTGATCTATCCAGTCGCACTATACAGTAAAGAAGAAAATGTTACAAAAATGTACTTAAAAGCGCTACCCTACTACCGCTTGAATGCTCAGGCACCTTGAGCCCCCCCCCCCCTTTTTCCCCCGCCTTTTCCCCCATCAAACTGAGCGCACCCAAACAATAGGTACAGAGGCTGGTGATAGGAGGGGGCAGGGCGACAAACAGGTAAAGTTGTTTGGTTATTTATACGATAGTCTCCTCCTTTACACACCACGGGTTGTAGGTTAACTCCAATGATAAGTTGGTTGGACTAGTCTACCATGGTCGAGGTTATGGGTGTCCCAGTCTGTAGTTGTCTTGCATTTACGTAATTTTATTTAATGGAGAAAGAGGCGGCCTGTGACATAGGTTTTGTCACTCTCTAGGGGGAGTTGTGTGTTAGACCCAGTCTCTAAATTTTTAGAAGTGTTAAAAACTCTGGCATGGTGAAATATACAACACACGGTATCAGCGCGAGTGCGGAATATCCCCGTGACCTTGTGTGAAAGTCGGATCTATCGAGGCCGACCTGTCAGCAGTAACATGGTCAGTAGATCGTTCAATCAGAAGCGAGCTAGTGTGTAAATGGGGAGACCAGCGTAAAATTTACAAGTAGTTCAAAATGTGCATAAAAATGCAGCATGAGGTGTGACATTTTACAACAGCCTCGCACTTTGTCGGGAGCCGCGGAGTGTAGTGGTTAATCGCTCGCCGGCCAGCACAAATGTTTTGTTTTCGAATCCACATCATCTGGTTAGAGGAAAACAAAACCTTAAAGGGGTTCCCAGGTAGATGCTCCCTAAAGTAAGTACCAGGAAATGTAGTAAGAAATAATTGTGATCGGCGTGATATTGATCAAATCACCCATCGAGTGCTGACTGATCTATGTGAGGCGACATTTTCTTATCGCTGTTGGGTGGGGGGAGGGGGGCAAATCAACCACTAAATATAAACCATGGAACAACAGAGGCAATTCATGACGTCGATTACTGAGTGTAATGTATACGTGAACAGTTTGCGGAAGCGATACTAACTCGAGCCTAACATGCAGTTGGGCTGTTGTGTGCCAGACAAGAAAGTGGAGGATTTGTGAGTTAAACTTTAGAGTGCGAGAGATGTAGAACAGACTATTTCAACTTGGAGCAAGTGGGAAAGCTTAGTCTTGCATTCAATCATGTGAGAGTCTAGTCCAGTGGGGCCTTGAGTGTCTAAGCCAAATATATCCATGAAGTAAGTGAAAGTATCATCATGTTGCCAACCTGTTTCCTTTGAGTACAAATAGGAATAAATTAAAATTATCTGCAGTGAGTTAGAGTGTTTCTAAAAGTGCCAGCAGTGGAAAGTGTCGACAGCTAGTACGTTGCCCAGGTAATGCACGTATGTTCAACTATTCTTTAGTAGCCTGTGTACCTAGACCTCAAGCTTCTGACTCACTGACCGAGGAGAACATCGTTGGAGCTGATCAACATTTATTATCGGCTGTTTAATGTGTTCGACGTTTGTTCGTGTCCAAAATTATGTGATGAATTAGTTCAAACGTCTTGTCAATGTGTCTGAGCAAACTGCGTGCTCTGAGCCAAAGGAAGAAGTAAGTGCATTGCAGTCTTAATAATTATGAGCCTAGCATTATTGCCCGAAGTGCCACTGGCGTGAAAAGGGCCTTTATGAAGAAAACATACAAGTATCTCTCATCATCATCATCATCAATCAGTACTTGTGTCGTTAAGCGATGTAGGAAGAAGAGTTTGCGATTTATTGGTTGACAGACAGCAATGACTATAGTCATTCCATTTCGATGTAGAAGCTCTTTAATGCCATCAATCCATTTTCTCCTAGGGCGACCTCTTGCTTTCATATCAGATCTTTTCGTTTGTAGCACCTGCGTTGGTAGTTGTTCTGACTGCATTCTTACTAGACATGTAACTCTGATGGCAGAAAAGAAAGAAGACACTGATGTGAGGGAATAATAATAATAATTAATTAATTACTCACGGCAAAGAGGTACTTCAATTTGAAATCGATCCTTGTATTTCCTGTCGACAATATAACCTGGTTTCGAGCAGGGTCCAGCGTGAAATGCAGACTCTGGCTCCTCGAGCTTGAAGATTGCGTCAGCTGCATGAAATTGTGTCATGCTACATTTTTAAACTGTATGTGTGTGTAGTGTAGTGTAGTGTATGTGTTTATGCGTGCGTGTATATATATATATTTTGCGTATATATATAATTTTCTAGCGTTGTCTTCCTCTGTTTCTCTCTTCCACAGATCTTCCCACTAGTCAAAACATGTTCCGGTTTCCCTCTTCTCCTTACATAATTTTAAAAAAAAATGATGACTGTCTCTTTCTGATGATTGTGATAAGTCTTCTTCTAGCACTCGCCTCTTTCAAAACATCTGGGTTGCTTTTCTTAGCTGTCCAATGAATTCTAAGGTGTAAATATATTTCTGTCCAGCCATCAGAGATACATGCCTACACACTACATTTATGTATGTGTATGTATATATATATATGTGTGTGTGTGTGTGTGTGTGGTACATACATACACATATGTGTGTGTGTCTAGACAGACAGACAGGTAGGCAGTTATGCAGGTAGATGGATAAACAGTCAGTCAGGCAGACAGGCATGTACACAAGCATGTAGGCAGCTAGACAGACAGACAAACGTAACGAATGAACGAACGAACTTTATTTTCAAAGGCTTAAGAATTGAGCACGCTAGCCCGTCTTGCATTCTGCCCTTTTGGCTTCACTCCTTACATACATTATTAAATTCATATAACAGTTAGCATACAAATATTACACATCTACATCTATGATAGTCACCTGTCCTTTATTTCTATTAGCGTGTTAATAATCATAATATATTCTATTGCATATGGACTGTTGTCTGATTTATATTATAGTGTTAATTATGGGACTAGTTTTACTGTTCCTGCTTATTAGACCTTACAAATCGTATCCTATCTGGGTTAAGACACTATGGTCCAACGAACTTTTTCCTTTTCTTCTTCTTCTTTTTGTTACTGAGGCAGCTTGGGTGTAGGTTGGCTCCCACTACGTACCACGACAATACTTGGTGGAGCTATTGTAGGTTTGGAATAGAGATAGGTTCAAAGAGTAGATTTTCATGTTATTCTTTATAGTTATATCCTCCCCTTCCTCTCATACAAAATACCCCTTAAGCTTTGCTTGTAGGACAAGTAGCGTCGTCTGTGGAATAGATGGCCAGTTATTTGTTTTGTGTCAAGCCTAGTTAATTTAGATTATCATAGTGATTCATAGTTTAGATTGAGTTTTGAATAGCACCCATGTGTCGCAGACTTTGAGTACATGTTTAGCTAGATGTTACATAATTTTATTCACAATTTTATTCGTTGCCGAGCTGTTTTGTGTGCCAAGTCTAGTTGACTCAGATCACTGCACTGATTCACATTTTAGTTTGGTTCAGAACTTGTCTAGGTGCGGCCAATTTAGTCAATGGTGTGTTTGGTTAGATGTTACGCAAGTTTTGTGTACTAGGCAGTGGTCAGTGCCTGTTGTTGACGGAATAGCTTGCCCGTCGTTCACATAGGAGTGTTTTGTGCACATCGTTCACTAGGAGTGATAAGTGTCTATTGTTCACAGAGTGGTGTGCGCATTGTTATTTTAAATATCTTAGAGCGTTAATGATCATTAGATCTGTGCATGTTATTAGTTTCTTGATTATTCTAAATTGTAGGCTTGTCATCGGCCTAGTCCAAATAAATATTTTTTGGTCAGTATCTGCTTTCTGTTGCTGAGTGTTCAAGTTTAACTGATAAACCTTGTTGAACCAGAAATGCTTGACTCTTTGGTACGCTTTCATAATGTGACTTTTTCAAATCGATTTTCTTCTAGGCCTCTCGCTGCTTTTTTTTTTTTTTTTTTCAGTATCATGTTGCCAGCATCGTTGGATTAATTCTCACAAGACAGCCCAACCATTTCATTCTTGGTTTCTTAATGTATCTTATATTGGGTATGGTTTCATTTCTCACAAATCGCCTTTAGTTTTATTTGCAGACTTTGTCAAGTATTTCATTTCACAGGTGGTTAGTTATGTTATCACAATCGACGTCACTGCACACTGGGCATTTCAATGCGTGCTCCCTCCTCCGATGCAGCAGTCATTCCAAGGTAATTCTACTAATTGTTCCAATGAGAAATTGCATATAATGTCTCCTATCTCGGCACTGAAGGCATAGACGTGCTTGACCATGCTTTACTCCTATGTCCCGCAGTTGTATTAGTGTCAGAGATTCGTCATTATTTATTCACTAGTCCAGGGTGTACAGCGTTGACTATATCTGCTTTCAGTGCCTCTTCCCACATGCGTTATGCATTGCTTGCCAGTTGTCCGCTCGCTCAAACTCTTTACGCCCGCATGACCAGGCTTTTAGATCCAGGTGACGGATGTTAAGTGCGATTTTCGAATGCTTTCTACCCATTCAGAGCGCATATTGCCTGTTGCTATCTTCTGCAGCATGTTCATGGAGTCAATTACTGCGTGTGTGGCTGATTGCTCTGATGCCCATGCTAGTGCCCAAGAAGCTGCGGCTATCTCCATGGTCATGCTTGACATGGATGCTTGGTAAGTGCCACTATCCTCTTTTATTCTTTCCGCTGTGTATGCCCATGCCTACTGTTCCGCGCTTCACGAATCCATATGTGTAAATGACGATCTATTTTGGGTGTGAATGCTGATCTATTAGTGCCCTTACCTCCATGTCTACGGCCGCAGGAATCTGATCCATGCAATACCTTTTCAGTGGCCTGCCAGCCTTAAAGATGCCACGCATGTCTACTGGTGTATTCGTCCATTCTCTTTCCTGACTGATCTCGTCTAGGTCATATACACGCTGGATTAAATCTTCAGCTTTGGCCATCTAGAAGCTGCCTCTTTTAGGAAGCATTTCTTTTGTGTCATGTGTAGCTTTGTACAGTGGGTGGTTGACGTCTGTCGATAGTCATGTACGCATTGATCTGTGCGACTTTGTGTCTGTTAACCATCGTCGGCAAACCTAGGACATTTCGCGTGGCGTTGCAGATGTCTTTTGTGCAGCCGAGTATGTCTCGTGTCCTCATTTTGTACTCGGTCTAGTCTTTCTAGCTGGGCTTTGTTCACAGTGAGGAGGCCTAGATATGTCAGTAATGCTTAATACAGTTCCTTGATTGAGAAGGCAAAGTAGGGGTGGTGTTCAATATCAGCTGCTGATGGCATCTTGAGTAATGTCAGACCTGTCCTGGCTTTAAGTATGAGTTGTCTACGTGACACTTGTATGACAAGCATCTGTTAAATGTTATGCCCATGTATTTCATGGTGTCCGTTTTCTCACTGTCCATACCACACATGATTACGACTTATGTTGGTGTACTGACAATGTGAGAACCATGTTAAGGAGACCTTTGACAGGTTCACTTGTGCTCTTGATTCCTGGCACCACTCATTGAGTCTGTCTAATTCTTGTTGTAGCGTAGTTTTAATTTCGTGCCTGCTTCTGCCTCTATGGTACACAAGGATAATATCTGCCTACGACATTGTTATGACTAGGCCTACGCTTTGCGCACTGATGTGTAAACATTGAAGAAAATCGGCGACAATGGTGATCCCTGTAGCAGACACATTATTTAAGGTTGAAGCTGCGACAAGATAGCAAACCGGTAGTGGATTTTCACGCTTTAAAAAAAAAAAACCGCCCCAGAATGAAGTCAGTGCTACCTATTATTTGTTCCCTTTGTGAGAAAGTATTACTTTACTTGCATTTGTGTTTGTAACCATGCATGTCCATCTGGCTAAAAATAAACATGTGCAGCAACAGCAAAACAGACACAGAGTCAGTTTTAATCAGACTTACGATTTGTTTTCATGTTCTCAGTCATGATCTCTGTGATTGCTGTTTCAAGCCAGCAGTTAACTTCGCTAAACACAGAATCGCCGAGACGTTGATATTTTGGTTTGTGGACAAGGCGAAATTTAAGATGAGCTATCCACTGAAGATCAAAGAAGGGGTCATAATTCAAATACAGAAATTGCTCTCTGATATTACAGACATCTTTAGGTATCGTAATCCAAATCTATCACGACTATACTACTGATTTAGAAAAATTCAAAATTCCTAAAGCTCGACTCAGTCTTCAGAAAAGGCCCGGGGAAATAAACTTGTCAGACACTGTGCTGACTAGATCACCTATCGAGTCTAATCAGTCTATAAAAATACGATTCTAGAATCAAATTTCCAACGCGCCGATAGTCGTTTACTTAATTATTTATTTAGTTACACTCATTGGTGTAAAAACTTTTTTATACTAGGAGAAGAAGACAAAACGAACTACGAGTATAATTTCCTGCAAGAAACTTAATTACCATTCGTATGTGTCCACGGTGTTATCATCATCATCTCGTAGAAGGTCTTTCACAAAACATCTCTCTCATCGCTGCCGCAGTTTGTCCCCTCCAGGATTACAATCGACAGAATTAACAACTCAGGTACAAATTCTGTTAAGCCTCCCTGTTCAACCATCAGTCGATTAATCAGATGCCGTTAACACAGGAAAGGTTGGCTGTAATCGGTCTTCAACATGCACTTCTCTTGTCCGGGTTGTACACTCTCTCAGACTGCTGTTCGCCCATCTCATGATTGTGTCCTTCCTCTTGCTTTCTTGCCCTCGACTTTTCCCCTCAAGTATAGGTTAACCTTAAGGTTATATTACAGCGGGCCCTCCGATGGTTATGCCGTATCCTGAAGTCAGGACTGGGCAGGGACATTCGCTCTCGTCTGTCACGCTGGAAATCCGTATCGTTGACTTTCATGTCCAACATGTCCTTGATATCCTGCCACTGCCGTGATGGTCGACCCCTGGTTGTATCATGAACTATTTATTGCCTTGTTGTTCTCACCTAAAACGTGCTGTTAGCACAGGGAGTCATCATTGGAAGGAAAAGGAGCACAAGCAGGAATGTCCAGAATGCTAGGATGTCAGTTCTCGATTCGTTCATTCGTTTACTCTCTTCAACCACTTTAGCGTTTAACATAATTAAATTGTTTCCCTTGAAAATAAACATTACTGTTTCTAACTCAAGACCCCCCCCCCCCCCCCCCCCCGGTCTCGCTTTTTGTTCATTCGATTTTTAGATTGTAAAGAATGCCATTATTTTTCTCCTCTTGGTCCTTGATGCTCTATATATCTTCCTGTAAAACTGGAATCAGTACCTGTATCTTATAAGACATTTTGTGGTGAGTACCGGTATCTTTTTAAATATTTTGTCTTGAAAACCATTGTATTTTAGACACTTTGTGGTGATTACCGTTGTCTTTTTAGACACATTGTGATGAGTGCCGTTGTCTTTTTAGTAGGGCTGTACCGAAAATTCGCTTCGTATTAGCTTCGGGGTTGAATAGTGGACCCATTGACTATTCGGTATTCGGCCGAATAGTTGCGGTCGGGCCGAATACGAATAGTAGTTACCTTACACCCGCTTCTGCATAGACGGCCTTAATACTGACAACATGAAACGATTGGTTTTGTTGAAAGCTAATGCAGCTTTCATGCATAAACTAAGCTGTCAGTGACAATTTCCAAGTTTAGTTACTTGTTATAATACTTGGGATTCTTTCATTCTTAGTTATTAGTTACCACAGACTGACTGAAGGATGCAGAACATAAAATGTTTTTAAATGTTTACTATTCTGTACGAATACTAACTAGACATGGAAAGAAAAAAATCTCCGGCCACATCCAAGTCGATAATATGAAAATCAAACGAACGGAAACATTTAAGAACTTGGGTGCAAACTTCAACTGCTCTAAAATGACGAGAGGAGAAATAGAATCTAGAAATAAAGTAAACTATGCCCTTAAACATCTGCTGAAGTCAAAGTGTCTGTTTCGCAACACCAAGATTAAAAAAAAAAAAATATAAAACGTCGATAAGACCAGTCGTTTTATATGGCTCTGAAACTTGAAGCAGAAATAAAAAAGATGAGGCCTTATTACTGGTTTTCGAAAACAGTCTTACGACAAATATTTTGACCCATCAAAGATGCTAACAACGGGGAATGAAGAGTGAGAAGCAACAACGTAACACATAATCTGTTTAAATCACCACTGATCACTGGCATCATGAGAGCTAACAGTCTAAAATTGTTGGGGCATATTGAAAGAATGTCAGAAGACAGAGAAGTAAAACTGTATACACATGAGAGAGGAACGAGCGTAGACCACAGGCGGACAAAAAAGAAGATCGAGAGATAATGTCCAGCCAGACCTGCAAAACAACTGGTGTCACAAATTGTAAAAAGAAGGCCAGTCAGAGAGATGAATGCAGCAGTAAACCTCAAGGGCTCAGAATGCTATAGAAGAAGATGACTATTCTGTGCTACTTTATGTGAAGTACAAGTTCAGCGTACCTTTGACATTATAAATGTGTACTATTCGTATTCGTATTCGGCCGAATAGTTGGTCCCGTAATTCGTATTCGGCCGAATAGTGAAAATCCCTATTCGGTACAGCCCTACTGTTTAGAAACTTTTTGTTAAGTACTGTTATATTTTCTTAAGACACTTTGTGGTGAGTACCGGTATCTTTTTTAGACACTTTGTGGTGAGTACCGGTATCTTTTTTAGACACTTTGTGGTGAGTACCGGTATCTTTTTAGACACTCTGTGGTGAGTACCGGTATCTTTTTAGACACTCTGTGGTGAGTACCATTATCTGTTTAGACACTTTGTGGTGAGTACCATTATCTTTTTAGACCCTTTGTGGTGAGTACCATTATCTTTTTAGACACTCTGTGGTGAGTACCGGTATCTTTTTAGACACTTTGTGGTGAGTACCATTATCTTTTTAGACACTCTGTGGTGAGTACCCGTATCTTTTTAGACACTCTGTGGTGAGTACCATTATCTTTTTAGACACTCTGTGGTGAGTACCGGTATCTTTTTTAGACACTTTGTGGTGAGTACCGGAATCTTTTTAGACACTCTGTGGTGAGTACCATTATCTTTTTATACACTTTGTGGTGAGTACCGGTATCTTTTTTCGACACTCTGTGGTGAGTACCGTTATCTTTTTAGACACTCTGTGGTGAGTACCGGTATCTTTTTGAGACACTCTGTGGTGAGTACTGGTATCTTTTTTAGACACTCTGTGGTGAGTACCGGTATCTTTTTTAGACACTTTGTCATGAGTACCGGTATCTTTTTTAGAAACTCTGTGGTGAGTACCGGTATCTTTTTTAGACACTCTGTGGTGAGTACCGGTATCTTTTTGAGAAACTCTGTGGTGAGTACCGGTATCTTTTTATACACTTTGTCATGAGTACCATTGTATTTTAGATACTTTGTGGTTAGTGTCGTTATATTTTAGACACTTTATGGTAAGAACCGATATCTTTTTAGACACTTTGTGATGAGAACCGATATCTTTTTAGACACTTTGTGATGAGAACCGATATCTTCTTCTTCTTCTTCTTCTTCTTCGCGTTCACCAGCTGTACACTCTGGCGGAAAGTTCTGGTTGTTCGTCCACACCTGGACTGCAGTCCTGCTCCAGAACCTGGGTGTTGCGTGTGCATCAGTTTTACTGATCTGATTCACTTGAATGCAGACTGTTGGTTCCTTGCCTTTCAGGCAGATGCACTCCGACTTCAAAGGAAGCTACCAATTAGTCGACTCTTACGACATGCTTTTTGGTAGGCAGTGGGTCTATTCTTGTTTCCCCCCACAATGGGACCCCGGATCCCACACGGGGAAGAACCGATATCTTTTTAGACACTGTGATGAGAACCGATATCTTTTTAGACACTTTGTGATGAAAACCGATATCTTTTTAGACACTTTGTGATGAGAACCGATATCTTTTTAGACACTTTATGGTGAGCACCGGTATCTTTTTAGACACTTTGTGTGTTGCAAAACTACTATTTGATAGATGTTGAATCAAGACCCATACCACAGCCGATAATTTCTTCTTCTTATCAACATTCACTCCACACTTGACTACAGGTTACTTCGTGACTGTTTTGTGGGGCCCCAGCCTAACTGTTCTAAATCGCTGTACTGTTGAACGGGGTTTCTGGGATTTGTACCTGTTTGATTCTCATCCTTGAGGTGGTAATCCTGCTTACTGCAAATCTCGGAAGAAAAACAAATATATATATATCATCAAAAACCACTTGGCCGTTAAGCGACGTGCGGAGGAATAATCTGCGATCCAGTGAACGTTGACTGCCACTGGCTATTGTCATGCCATGAAGGCGTAGAGTTTCCTAAATGCTGTCGATCCATGTGTTCCCCGGCTGTCCTCTTGCTCTTGTAGCTGATCTTCTGAGATGTAGTGCTTGTGATGGTATTTGATCTTGCTGCATTCTAACGAGATGGCCAAGTCACTTGATCTGCTATTTCTCAATGAATCTAATACAAGATTTCGTTCCCACAGTTTGTTCGATGGTATCATTATTCACTCGATCTCGGATAATTAGTTTGGCCGCTATACACAGGCATCATCTCGCAGGTGGTGATTTTGCTTTAGATAGTGTTCATGTTTGGCACTGGTAGCTTAATTTTGGAATGAATATGCTCTTTATAATATGTCTCTTTGCATTCATGGTTATGCTTGGATGTTCTAATAAAGGTGACAATTAGTATATAAGTGCACTTGCTTTCTGACATCTCATTTCTATTTCTCTGTCAATTATACCACCTTCCGTTGTCATACTCCCTCCATATTTAAACTCCCTAGCCTGATTCAAACAAAAACCATTCAGCTGTATGTGTAGTGGGCCAGAGGTTCTACTAACCTGCATTGTTTATATATATACATATATGTGTGTGTGTGTGTGTGTGTGTGGTGTGTGTGGTGTGTGTGTGTGTGTGCGCGCGCTTTGAAAAAATCTGAATTGTGACTTTAGGTGTCTCAGTTTAACGGATGATATGTAGGGGGAACACTGAGGGCTCGGTCGCTTGGTGTGCTGTGATACTGTTAGGTGCTAAGTTGTTATTGACTCCTTCAATCCAAGTTTTTCTAGGCCTCCCTCTGCCTCTTGGTGGGTGTTTCTATTTTTGCTTTGTACCATTACATATCTAAATGTATTTGTTACTTGCCTTACCCCAACGAACACATGGGAATCGCTGCTAATGGAGATCAAGCACTCAGACTGCTCGGCTGCAAGCTGAAGAAAGAACTCCAGACCCTGAATAAGAAACTTTTTTGCCTTATAAAGGAGGTCTTTCATGTCGTCGATGTATGCTTTCACGTCTTTGTCGCATCTCACTGCATTGTGAACGTACACTCCTCTTTGTACGTAGATTGTAGTCGGTAACATTTTTTCTGCCAGGTATAGGAAAATGTGTTACCATATTATTCTGCTTCCCCTACCTACTCCTCTGTCTACACACCCATTCACCTAAATACTACCCGTCTGTTTGTCAGTGTATGTGTCTGTCTGTCGACCTATCAACCTACCTACTTGTCTGTCCATCTATCTATTCATCCATCCAACTGTCTGTCGGTAGGTCTGTATTACTATTCATCATCCATCCGTCTGTCTGTCCGTCTAAAACAAAAGGAGATAGTTTGAAGAAAATAATGGTAACAGGTGGAGCTAAAAGATGAGGGGGGAAGAACAGACAAAAAGATGACCTTCTGACTTCAAGATAGGGGGGGGGGGGGGGGGAAGGGGGCGATCGAGATATTGTATGATAGAGACACCAGCAGGTATCTGGAGCCCGAACAATGGTAGGCATAATTTTCCACTACTGATACCAATACTAAACTAACGCTAACTAAAGCCAACACCAGCTAATTAAATCTTTAGAAAACAGGGAATTAGAAGACAACAACCTCTTTTACTGTTTCAAAATTAAACAGTTATAGAAACTAAACTATAAATGCAATACAAT